AATAATAATAATAATAATAATTGGTCAACGATGCTGTTCTCTCTGTCGTAGAACAACTTGAGACTGGAAGGAAAATCTTTACGCAGGCCAAACAATGTCCGCGAAAAAGATTTTACGTGCATGACATTGACTAAGAACTAATCATTTTCAGAGGACTGCGTGCACTCCAAAAAGGCCCATTTTGGCATCATTGTTCTGTTGTTTGACAGCTCAGACGATGCTGCTTACCATGAGATGTTCCCATTTACTACGAAGAATTTCAGCCACTGTCATTTCACTTCTTTACTTTAATGATTGTCAAATGAGCGTTGCCTTAAGATAGAGAGACAAATTAATTACCTTCTCTTTGAATGCTAGCAAATACATGGATATGTAGGAATGCGCATCTATCAATCGGCAGGCGTTAGTATTCCTGGGAATTTGTAAGCTTGATGGAAAGAGAGTCTTGCAATGTTTTTTTGAATGAAATGTAAATTCGGGTTCGAAATCTAAATATCTACACTATTGAAGAAATCTAAGCAAAACACCTCTATAAGCTTAGACTGATCAGTGATGAGAACTTATAATTTGAATTTTGAATACATTCCAAGAGTGCTACGTGTCCCAATCTAGATAACTGATGCTCCTATGTACCCCTATGACAGGAAAAACCAATCTTGCTCCAAGGAAATACTAGTAGTAATCAAAGCTAAATCTCCCATCCTCTAGTTCTTCCCGTTGATGACAGAGCTGCCACCTGAGCCGCCGCTGCTGCCGCCGTTACCGCCGTTGCCAGCATCACCGACATCGCCGCCGTGAGAGTTGCCATCAAAAGAGATAGCAGGTCCACCGCTGATGATGCTGAACTTGCGGGCTAGAAGGGAGAAGATAGAATCAGAGCGTTTGGTGATTCTGTCTTTGTGTTAGTTGTCATCAGGTTATAATGAGGGAGATACATACCCTCCAGCACCGCCGTTACCGCCGTCACCTTTGCGGCTGTTACCGCCGTCACCACCATTGGCGACGTTACCGCCGCGGCCGCTGCCTTCGAATCCGATGCCAGCACCACCAGTAACGACTGTCGATCGTCGTTGAATTCCACCAGC